AGTAACCTCGATGATACTGTCCATGATTCATCAACAGACCAAGTCCCTCATTGCTTGTTCCTTTGCGAATCAATAAGTTCATGGCAATAAAATGTCAAGCCGTTGATTATTAAAACAATGAATTTTTCATGAAATATAAATCACTTTGTTCACATATTTTTAAGGAACTTTTACCATTCAATCAATATGAAACGCAGTGTTATTCTAAATTTGTTTAAATTACGGGTCCAAAACAGGTACTGTTTTTGACTAAATAAGTATTCTAACATTTATGATTCCTTATGATGGGGATAAATAAGAACACTGAACAATAAGCTGAATGATGGTTAAGTTGTAGAACAAATCTTAGGAAAAAGCATATTTTCTTCATGAAGGAGAAATGAGGGTTAAAACGTTGAGCAAATCAGTGGCAAATCATCTTCATTTACAAACAATCGATTTGTAAAGATATTAGGGACAAGTAATAAATGCCTGGAAAATCACAGTCAAACCACCATGGAAGAACTGGAATCCAATTGGTTATGACAGTCATTTTCACCTTGAGAAATATTTGTTTTATATTCGCTCGTCCATGTTCCTGAGTCAATTACAGATCAGGAAAGCTCCTTCGGCATGCTAAGTCATGCTCTGTTTTTTCTAATTGATTTGCAAGTATTTTTGTTTTTTATGGTCAAAGGCGACGGAAGAACGACTCTCCAAAAGGTAAAGGATATAGAAATAAGGACAACAATGGCGGATCTGACACCGATTCTAGCAAAAATAAGTCGAGTTCTTATGGCCCTCCCTTAGTAAATCCCACTCAGCCCTACTACGTGCAACCCAACGACGATCGGAAACTTGCCCCATCGGCTGAAATGTTCCATTATCAATATCAGAAGGATCAGAATAATTCCAACCTTGCGTAAGTCAACTTGTATATACTTCAATTTGTAAGAAAATGATAATAGTAAAGTGAATGATAGAGATCTGATTTGATGCATTCAATTGAGAATTTTGTCTAAGGAATACTTTTGACTACTGTAAGCAGAATTTGTAAAAACTGATGATGATGATTTCGCCTTTTTCATTAATGAAAATCCAACTTGAGAACTTGGAAGGTCACTCAAGAGTTTGTGGAGACGCTAAATTCTCTTCTTTATTAAAGCGCAGACATTAGGTAAGAGTTTAAGCAAAGTCGCAGATGTCTTAACACGAATTGAGATAAGGCGGTATTTACTGATGACGGTAAGGTGGTTAGTCTCGATGTTAAAAGTTCAGATGTAGTCACTGAGCCATGTCATAGACTGAGACTAGAGTAACGAGAAAGAAGGAACTTAAGATGTAGGAAAGTGTTATACCAAGCGGAGAATGAAAAAGTGAATCTGTAATGGCGTTGGAATTTGGTAAGCGGTACTTTGGTTGAAAAGATAAACGGGATTACCCAGGTTTAACAAACCTGCGAATTAGTTCATTGATAAATAAACATAAAATTTCTTTGCCTTGAGATCTTCAAGTAATTTGCTAAATAGGTGTGTGTCATTATCATAATGCAACAAATTGGCTTCAAAAATTTGGAAAATATTATATTCTTCCAAAAAAGAGATACCAAGTTGTTTTAAAAAGTCTCTGTATCGCTTTCAACTAATAAAATTCGCTAATTTATTCTTGTTAAGGGAATAAGAATCTTATTATATGTATAAAACTATTATTTAACATTTCAATTGCTTATGTTTCGTCACAGTTACCCACTGAAACAGTTTTAAAACCGCTTGCACGCGGAAGTTTTAAAGAGTTAGGATGAAAAATAGCTCAATTTAATTGTTGAATAGTATTTATTGTTCTCTTTTGCATACATTAGTTTTATTTGTTTCTCACAAAAATGCTCATTAAATGGGGGCTTTCCTAATGAACTTTCGGGCCGAGTTTAATGTAAGCTTACCCGCTGCGAATTTTATTGTGAAGAGATTATAATGAGAGGAGAGTTTGAAGTTGGTCACTTGATTCTTTCCACTCAATTCTCATTGCAATGCTTCATTTGCTGTTGCTCTGAATTTCAGTTAATTGTTTCTCTTCGGAATTAATAACTCTGTTGGTGAAAAAGTATTTATTTATAAGTGTCCTGTATCCTGGATGAGAGTGATTTGTAAAATGTCGGATTTAGTGTTACGCAGGAAGCTTAATCATAATCAGGATGGCGGATTAGGTTAAACAAACAGAGGTTAATGATTGGTCACTGTTTGTACGGGTTAAACAAACAGAGGTTAATGATTGGTCACTGTTTGTACCGAGATTTTAAAAGGGAAAACGTTGGCATAATAATAAGCCATGAAATCACTGTTTATGATTAGGCGAGAATTTTGGTGGTGCTAATCTTTAGCCAATGAACCATTTATTTATATCAAATGACAGGCTTTATGATAGTCATCACTAGCCATTTAGTTGACTTCGGACTTCACAGAGAGGAGGAGGAGGAACACCAAAATAACAGAAAGTCGAGAGGGGGGAAGGGAACAGAAGAGTGATTCACAGATGTAAAAGAGACAAAGGCAGACACAAAGGCAGAGAAAAAGGTAATGTGACTACTGCGAAAGTGCTGGAATATGACATAGAGTAGGGTCATGGTGGTTTGAAGTCAGGAGTCAACTGTCGGTTTATAGGCCATTTTGCTGTATGAGTATACGTTGCCCAGGGTGCACCACGTGGTGGTAAGTATTTCGCGATCCCCAATTATGAAACGCACTCTGTTAAAAGTTATACATTTTTCTTTGAAATAGACCACAACCACCTTTTAAATCTCAAAGAAGCGTCGTAGTGGGGGGGGGGGAGAGTAGCAGCATAACCCAAATAAGAATCAAGATTAAGCACAAAATGAAGGTAAGGACATCGTACGAGAGGTTTTTCACTTGTATCTCTATCACTCGTTTACTTGCTTATTACATAATCGGAATAGTTCGTTACCCAGAGCCCTAGAGTGTGTTCTGTATTTTGAACCTTAGGATTGGATCATTAGGCCTCTAAGGAATAAATCAGATTTGTCTTCAGAACTGATCAATGGAGAGATAGATTGGCGAGTTAATCCCAATAGCCAAATAGTGTCTCGTAGCTCGTAACGATTTGTGAGAGTTTTTATGCAGGACATTTTTACCTGCATGGCACTCAGGGAAATTTAGGCAGTATATGGACTAAATTATGGCCAATAACTAAAAAAATTGTTGAATGGTTTTAAAAAACTTAAACCACTTTAACAGCTACAAGTGAATCAATTAATGTTATTTTTTTATTTAATTAAATTTATTCCTGATAATATACTCAATTAAGGAAATAATATACTATGATGAATAAGGACGGAATATTGTGAACGAAAGTAAGTGCATTAAAAGGTGCCATAACTCATCTTATTTCGGATTTCATTTGAGTGCTTCCTTTATTACTCGTCTTATTATCGAATTCAATATTTTTGTCGTACCAACTGCCGAAGCACACCATTAAGATCATGTCCACAGTGTTCAACAGTTCTTTATGCCGTAGAGTTACATCTGTTTTTTATTGCCAAAATACGTTTTCGTCAACAGTAACTAAAATGACTTATTAAAGTTCAATGAAGGGCATTCTTGTATTGAAATAATCCTATTTGTGATGTGCCTTAACAATATTCTGATTTTTAATAGATTTTAATCTATTTTTTGATTTTACTAAATGTATATTCCGAATTTCGATTATTTAAAGGGTATACACGGTACCAATCAGACAGAGAGAAGCAAAGCAATAAGAGTAGGAAAATGGTGTCGTTTAATTCAGTCCTTGCCCTCTCACAATGTCAACTAAGAGGCTCGCGTTAATTTTTAATGTTAGTATGTGTTCTGTTATAAGACTTAAAGGACAAGAATTCCTTGTTGGTTGATATACCAGACAAATAGTGATCTTGACGGTAAAACGAGAGAAGCCCCATCATGGAAGATGGTACTAATAAATTCCCGCGCCAACTACATAAACTTAGATGCCACCAAGTTAGGACTTAGAGACACTCGTTTATAGAAAATTTCTACGAAAAATATACACGAAGGCGACACCAATCTTGTAACTCATTATCTATCATTCCGATACTTGGAGGCATGGAACTCGTATCAAAGGCACTCAATAATAGAATAGAAGGGATTAAAGTGTTTAAAAACTGTGGGATTAATAAAACACCTATTTGCTAGATGAAGCCGGTCAATTTGATAAAAATGGGCAAGTCACAATGAAATGAATTGTCAACTGCAGTTTACTATTATTATTATTATTTTAATGATTATTTATTTTTTATTCAAAGTTATAATGAGGACTTCTTGAAAACCACATGCATTTGTGAGAAAACAAATTTTAGCCAACCCCAAGCATAATTGTATTTCTATAATAAATATTATGTTATTTCATGTAATCTCAAGTAAATCCAATATCTGATTTAATCCCATCTTTGCCTTCAGAATCTTGTAACATAACCTAAAGATGAAATATTATTGAAGTAACATTTTCCCTTAATGTTACTATATACTATTTTTGGTAGGCATAATTTTTATCAGCATCCAAGGTAAAGTAGGAAATATCAGCTGTTTCATTTCCGTTCTGCACAATTTTTCATACTTCATATAGAAAGGGGCATTTAGAGTCCTTTCAAGTAATCTCAGTTTCGCATTCTAATTGCACTGGAACTGTCGATAACTGTGGAAATGAAAAATTTGTCATAACTCTTTTGGTGCACTCATATTTTTTTCATCTAAGTTCTTAATTTCTTACATTTCACTTGCTCAATGTGCTTAATAGATTGTGAAGTTTTAAAGGAATTGTTCTGCGTTTAAAGCAAACATTTGTTAAGCATGTGGTTACTATTTCGCTTACATCGTCTACATTTGTGGGAAATTTATTTTAAGTCGCTCGCAAACATTTCCACATTACTATCATTTAACAACCATTTTGTTTAGAAAAATGGATTTATACTTTACTCATGTAAACTGTAAATTTTTTTTCTCGCATATTTAAAGATATCCTTCCGCCTCCGCTATACCGCCTCCTCTTGATGGAAATGATTACATGTATGAAGTTCCTGGTCTGGCCTCTGTAAGTCAGTTTTAAATTGTACAGCCCAAATAAATTGGCTGGCTTATTTTAAATCATGTTGAAGGTCTTGGAAGTAAAAGGAGAAAGAGAAATTCAATCACGCCTAAAGGTATTTTTTATTTTAGCAACGGGCCGATGATAAAGAGATTGCAAATCCGCTATATGGCAAATAGAATTACCATCATCTTAACAAGCAATGTCTCTAAATATTTTCTGTTGCTGAAATTGAACGCTGTCTCGCATAAAAATTCCACTTCATTTCTGTACTAATATTTAGACGGTCACCGAAATCGATTTGTTGATAATTTGAAATTATGTTAATTCTTACGAACATACCAAGATATAAGGACAATTCTAAAAGAATTTTATTATTCAGTGTTTTTTCTTTAACCTTTACGTGGTCATCAAAAGTCGAATAAGGTTAACGAAAACTAATTCTAGTGCGAAGTTATAAGAGATTACCGAAACATTAATCAATCTAACTAAACAAGATCATGTGAAAATCGGAATAAATACTCAAGATTTTAGTAATTAAATTTTATGCAGGATGCTGGAGGAAAAAAGTCATAGATGACTCAAGGCAAAGCACTTAATACTTATAGGTTTAACGAATGCCATCGTATTAAATACCCATTAGTATGTTATTACTGCATATTTTTGTAGAAGCTTAAAGCAAAATTAGAATATTTAAACAAAGTTTATTGTTTGCTTTCGATCAAATCATGGAAATAAATATCGATAAAAGTTATGCATTTCGCTTTGGGAATAATTAAAGATTAGTTAGTTAAGATGAAATGAAGAATTACAATAGTTTTCTCAGCTTGCTATTAAACCCCCAATGTAAAAAAGTGTTAGTATTTGTAAAAGTTAAAGTGGTTAATATACATCCGTAAATTTAACAATTGTAACGACGTTGAGAAGTGTGCATAAATAGGGAGCTACTTTAAAATATCGATATCAGTATCATTACGGTAATTGCGAAAACATTTTAAAACCACATGGAATTTTAGCAGGAATCTCGTTATAAATACTTTTTATGCATATTCTAATACAAGCAATTCATTTCTGACTAATAAACAACAATAAATGCATTCATTTACGTTAAAGACCCAACAAAACGGATCATTTCGTGCAAAATTTTAATTATCCTGCAAAAATATTTTAAATACCTTTTATTTAAATCACCTTGCGTCAAAATCAAAGGAGACCTTGAAGTAGATGATTTCTTAAAACTGTGCTTTATCGGTTTCGTGATTTCCCCTTAAATGCGAGATGTCGGAATCTGAGAATAAGGTAGGTTTATTTTTTGTCTTTAACGAATTTTAGACTTTGGGTGACGATGCTTCGGCAAAATTGAAATTGGATGAATTATACCCTACTATTAATTTAACAGCCCCAGAAGAAAAAGAATGTATCCTCTTCGAAAGGTATTTCCCCGTTCTGACATTAAAGCTGATAGTCCTGCCAAGTTGTATCGGCATTCGAATTCAGAATGGAAAGATCATGGGCCAGGTTTGTTGAGGATTATAGAAAGTTCTTCACCGCGACGTTTTCGAATTCTAATGCGCAGGGATGGAACACTTAAAGTAATTTTTATCGCGTAAAACTTACGTTTAGGTTTGTCTTAATCATTATATCACATTTCATATGAGCTTAATACCTCTTGGAGATAGCGGAAGATGTTTCTCCTGGTTGACGATTAATGAATTTTCTGATGGTGTTTCAAAGCAACAAATTTTGGCCGCTAAATTTCGAGATTTCGAAGGTAACCGTTTTCATTTTCTGTTTGCATTTATTTATAGCTGCCAATAATTTTAAAAGGATTTTTGATGAGTGCGTTGAGTTTGCCAATGGTTCTCAAAAAGATCTCACGAACAAATCTGGCAATAAAATGATTAAAGTTAAACCCACTTATCCTTCCGGTTTAGACAAAGAAAACAGAGAAAGCGTAGATTCCAACAAGAAAGAGAATCTTAGTAGTAAATCACCCAGTAAAGAAATATTGCCGAATTTAAAACATGCGGAATGTGAAGTCTTATCCGACTCTCTCTCTAATGTGAAACTGACTTCTCAAGACGACAAGCAAGAGTAAAACCGATTTGTCAAATACTCCTTGTACAAGATTTGCATTTAAAGATTTTTTATTTCTGAATGAAGTATCTTTACTGGGTTGGATAAAATATGTTGCAAATCACAGGATGTATAATTACAGAAAATGAGATCGCAACAGGTTGAGTAACACCAGCGCTTTAACACCATGCGTCATTTTATCAAGCCAATAATTTTTTAGGGACTGACATTTTTGTTGTCTTGGGTGCCTCTCAACCCCTATTTTAACAAATAAGTATAATAACAGCATAATCGAATGCCGTTGCTGGGTTGAATTTTAGTCGGCAACAGATATGGAGTTTTTAAAAGTTTAGATTTTCAGTCATGATTTAGTTTTCAATATTTTAAAGTGTGTCTAGTGCCTATCTTTTCTTTGTTCAAATGGTCTTCGGGAAAGCAACCGAAATGAGCAAGATGGATGATTTTTTTGTAGGTTTTGAAGAGGAAGGGGATGAACTGAGAGGTTAGGGAATTTCGTGCATTCTTAATATCTGTTTAAATAGAAAATTCGACTGTGGATCAGGTTGAACGTTTGCAAATTAAAACAGTATAAAACTCTTGAATATGAAAAATACCGTATTGTAGCAGTAACGTTTAAGGGATGGTGATTAATAAATTTCATTACTCACAGAGAGTTTCACATGAACGAATTCATTATGTCAACAAATATGCCCTGGAATTTAGAAATTACGAAAAAATTGTCTGGTAAAAAAGTTTTGACATTGATTTAATGTGCCATTCGAGGAGGAACTGTGAGTGAAAAGGAAGTATAAATACAGGAGTACAAAGGGCTCAAATTCATTTCAAGTCTGAATTTATTCAGTTGCTAATGCATTCGATGTGGTTAAAAAAGCACTATCTGACCCACGGATTTCTAATTTCAGCCAATTTTATTATATACCATTTTTTTCGGAGAAACCAACTAAACTGGGAGAGCAGTAAGTTCTGTAAACGTATGGCTATGGTAAATGGGTATTATAACAACCGCCAAGATTTCCGAGAACATACCATATTTGGAAAATGCACAGTTTTCTACTAACGATGCAAATCACTTTTCCATTATTATTAATCGCAACGTGATACGGTTTTTCCTGCCCATGGTTCATTCAGGCACTCTCTAATTTCCAATCATCTTTCGAGCATCTGAAAAAGTCGTGCTTTTCCCTTATCCCTTTAGCGCCAGAAAATTTTTTTTTAAAATGCGCATAACCGAGTTTTGGTGGTGAAGGCTATAGACGTATTGAGCATGTTTCAAACGACAACAGCATATCCTATTACCAGTCTAGTACCGATGAAGTTTATTTTGAAAGAGGATCGTACAGTCCTTAGGACGGTAAATGGTTACAACACAATTACCTATTCAAATCGTATAATTTACCATTGTATTTGAATGATTTGTGACTCTAAGCGCTACTAAACATTTATATTGAGTGGCATATATAAGGCCTGTATGGTGAACCAGAGAAATAGATGCTTATGACATCTCCAGTCAACTTCAATAGTCTGTAATATTACCCACTCAATCACGTCCTTTCCATCTCATGGAGACCTCATTCCACTCTGAAAAAAGAGCCAACCAACGTCCAAAAATCCATTGATGCTGTTGTGAAGCTCAACGGACCCTCCACACCCCCCCCCCCACCTACGGATCACAAGCTGCGAGGAGCTTCTTGGAACACTAGAACTCCTTCCACTCTCCTGTTCTTAAAATCCAGACACTTGCATTTCATCGCATTTCATACCAGTCTACTCTGACTAACTACATTATTAAAGCACATGAACTACCGACTATTGCAAAGCTACTCCTTTAAACTCAGTTGCATCCTACTTTTCATTCGCTCCCTGTTGATGTATTTTCCCATCCTTTCTGAGTCCCCGGACCTTCTCCTACCCCCATATTCCTTCCTCGCCGACTTCAAAATTTACCAGTAGGCATTTGTCTAACTGGCTTCTCCACCATCTAATATGGAGAAAGCATGTAGCTGTTGGCCTTTCAGGACATCTTTAGAATTGTTAGGGAATGCCTTATCGTTTAAATTAGAGCTACTTGGTCTCAAATATATTTCATGATATTAACACATTTTAGAGGAGCTAATCGTAACTTGAGCAATAATCACAAATTCTTGCTATTAAGACCGAGTTCATAAAAATCCATAGCCCCCCTAAGTAAAGGGTTTTCAAAGCTGTATATCCGGTCTCTTTGTGAGGCCTATTTAAATAGGATAATTTGTTGGTTCCCACTGGTTAAAATTCATTCATACTTTATCATTTTGTAACTTTAATCACCTTTAAGAAAATTATCTGCAGTTATTGTCAATTTCGCAGTTTCCTCAGAATTTCGGAATACTCCTCAAGAATTAAAATTCTTCTGTTAAATCGGGTAAATTTTAGGGCCATTATATGCATTATCATATGATAGCTCACTCTGAATTGTCTGATATGCTGTTGGCGATGGTCAGGGTTTAGTGGCCTCAATTGAATTGGACATACCGTGCTGTGTTGTGCCCCGCAGTATATGTATATATAATTAGCGGTTTATGCTATAGATTATATATGTAATGCAAAATGTACGAAGAAAAACAGACTGCTTGAGTCATATGCAACAGAACCCATTCCGATTGCTTTTACAGTGTATAATGTTATGCTATATTATTTTGGAATGTTTGAATTCAAATACTGAGGGAAATATTTGGTGAATCTTTGATTTACAACAAGATCTAAAATCATGATGAAGTACAAAATAAGAGCTTTTCATATAAAATGCCAAGTATGCATCCTTATTTGCAAATCCCCAACCAATTTACCTATTGGTAGCTTAAGTCAATGCTTGAGTACCATAAATACCCTGATTTTCCACTAATTTTAAGTAATATTCGGTTGTAACTTTTACTGGTAGAGAAGAATTAAACTTTTTCTTTAGTTTTTAATTCCTAAGGTTTTACTCGATAAAATAGCATTAGCCTACATAAATGATCAAGTGTTTGCAAGTCCGATGTCCGTCAAATAAATGTTCGGAGAAGCTTTCGAATAACTTCGAAGGTATTATTAAAAGCTCGCTTAAATTAGCACCATTTGTTATTTTATAATTTCATTTGTTCGTTGTAGTGACTTCTTCTTAATATGAGCTCAATCTTCACGTATTTATCAAAATGTTTTGCCATGATGAAAAAATCTCCGAAATTTATCTTAATTTCTTGTCTGTGATTGGACAAGCAAACGTGACTAAGATTATTTGATTGTTGAGGTTCTAAACATTACCCAAACTGATATGAATATTTTTGCGAATCTATTTCCCACGCGGTGACAGGTATTCAACTATTATTATTTATTCAAAATCAAAAGTATATATTTCTAAAAATGTCATGTTAATACCCTTTAAATAGTTTAAGGGTCAAACGAACTAAATAAAAACATAGTTTTACATGAAATCAATCTTTTGGGCCCTGATATGGTTCATAATATAGATTTTACAACAATATATAATTTTTCTTTTTTAAACAAAGATTTGTAAAATGAAATTAAATTTTCTTCCCTGGTTAAGAAACTACAGGTTTAAAAATCGAGATATACTTAACAGTCTATAAATTTTTCTAACTTGTTGAAATGCCCGTTATTTCAATCCATTTTGTATAAATAATATGCAAATAAGCATATTTTTTATGGAAACTGTTAATTGGTAGACATACTAATTTGTATAAGAATTTTCTTAAACAAAAATATAATTCATTTTACACATCTGATTTTAAGGTTGTCATCCACGGTATCTCATTTCACTGGCTGCCTAATTTTTGAAATATTCCTAACTATGAACAAGCCTAAGGTCGGTATCAATGGCTTTGGACGAATTGGTCGTTTAGTTCTAAGATCTGCCATTTGTAAAGGAACTGTCGATATCTGTGCTATCAATGATCCTTTTATCGATCTTGATTACATGATCTATATGTTCAAATATGATTCAACTCACGGACCTTTTATCGGTGAAGTAACGCAAAAGGATGGAAAGTTGGTTATAAATGGTCATTCTATCTCTGTCTATAAGGAAATGGATGCAGAAGCCATCCCTTGGGATCAAGATGGTGTTTACTATGTTGTTGACTCGACTGGTGTTAATACTGAAGTTGCCAAGGCTTGTGCACATTTGAAAAATAATCGGGCTAAGAAGGTTATTATTTCTGCTCCTTCCAAAGATGCACCGACCTTTGTAGTTGGTGTAAATCTTGATAGATATGATCCTTGTATGGACATTGTTTCGAATGCTTCCTGCACCACAAATTGTCTTGCACCACTGGCAAAAGTTATTCATGAAAATTTTGGAATTGTTGAAGGACTTATGACAACCGTGCATTCCTACACTGCTACCCAAAAACTTGTAGATGGACCGAATCCCAAAGGATGGAGAGATGGTCGAGCTGGTGCTACGAATATCATCCCAGCAGCAACCGGCGCTGCCAAAGCTGTAACTAAAGTCATTCCTGATCTTCAAGGCAAGCTGACAGGCATGGCGTTCCGAGTTCCTACAGCTGATGTATCCGTAGTTGATCTTACCTGCAAATTGGCCAAGCCAGCCACTTATGATCAGATCAAGGAAGCTATCAAGAAAGCTTCTGTTAGCCCTGCTCTGAAAGGGATTTTAGCCTACACTGATGACGAAATCGTCAGTTCTGACCTGCGTACAAGCACAGCTTCGTCAGTTTTTGACGCAAAGGCTGGAATAGCACTGAATGACACATTTGTCAAACTCATTTCTTGGTACGACAACGAATATGGCTACAGTTGTCGGGTCGTTGATCTCATAGTTTATATGTACTCGAAGGACAACTAATTTTCTTGGTCAGATATCGTTCGTTTCAAAAGCAAAATTGTTCTTGTTCAAAATATTTATTTATTTTATCTATATCAAATGGCAGGCGTCTTGATGGTTATCAT